AAAATTCAACGTTTTTTAAAATAAAGATAACTCAGCTTACAAAAGAGATAGAAACTTGATTCAAACGTGGTTGGATAGAGAATTAAAAACTAACTTAACGTAGTGATTTGGCATCCAGTACCAGGTGATCATGATTCTTCAGGGGATCTCTAGAAAACTCTTTTTACTTCCACTTTCCTTTCACTATTTTTGAATGCTAAACTTTAGTACTGGACTTTCCGACCTTCTATAGGTCAAAAACAATCGATATAAGATATTCTAGCACTAGCGATAATATTGGCTGCTATATGAGAGATAGCCGCCTTCATGTAATCAGCTGCTATAGGTCACACTGATCTTGTTTTCTTCTCACGCAGACAGAGGATGTATATAGAAGAGTAAACACACACAGGTGCATGAACGAGAGAGAAAAGAGAGAGAGAGAGTTTCAACAAAAACAGGAATAAAACAAGAAAAAAAATTTCGTTTGTTGTTTCTGTTATAAACATTTTCGAACAAAACGTTTTTTCAAAGCTTCTAGTCGCATTACGGAAAACCGGACTAGAGTTGATGCTTCTGAAATATTTCTCATTTAGAATTGTCAAAGTTTAAGTTGTCAGAGGGGTTCCCAAAGTCTGGAACCACCTTTTTTATGTTAGGCAGATGTCATTTCAAAATTATCACAACTGGATTACTTTCCTAACTTAAAAGTTTTACATATTCCATTTACTTTAGTTACATCAACAATACCTACTGGATCCAATACACATCTAAGTAAGAAGAATACAGTCTGTTCAAAAACAAAAAAGGCCGATTTGTGCAAGTTGAATAACTTTTGATAGGAATGTGCTAAATTACTTTAATTTCACTTCTTTGAATATATCCGAATAGCATAGTTTCAAAAGTTTTCAGTCACAAGAACAGGTAAAAAAGATCGTTCTTTAAGGCTCAATTCTCCTCAGAAATACGCTCTAAATTATCAACATCATGAAAGAGCATCCGTACATGACTGAAACTGCCTCTGTTCGATATAGGACAATTAATAGTGTAGTGAAATTTAAATAAATACTCGATCGCAATGGCGCAACGCACAAGTTGCGATGTCGGCAGACTCTGTTTACCCAGCTAGAGAGTTTTCAGTACTCTACATTCGCCGCAACCTTCATGTTTAAGTGCTTAGAAGAGAGAATTAAAACGGCAGTTCGAAGAACAGAAAGGAGAAAGAAATTATTTTTCTTTGACAAATTAAATGGCTAAATCTCTTCAACATATTGCGCTGAATTAGACTTTACAAATTTTTTACAACAGCGTGAGGAAGTTTAATAGTTACTAGTATCCATACCAAAACACAGTGTAGGGTGCCACTTTTTGAATAACTTTTGATAGGAATGAGATAGAGACCTGCGATTTTCGTTGTTCAATAGCCAAGACTTGAGCAGAACTTTTCACAAGCGGAAGCAGCTTTTGAAAAAATTCCAGAGATCGGGTTTCCAGAGGATCTTTGAAAATTTAGCGCATAAGAGAGTTTCATTCAAAAAGCAAGTTTACTTTATATATCATCATCATTTATCTGACCGTTCATATCTTCACTGTCTGCATCCTCCTTGTCGCTCTCACTGGACGCATCTCGTTTTCATATTACAAAATATTTTTCCTGACTGGGACGGGACCAAAAACGATTTTCTGGGAGCGGGACCGAAAAACCTTGGTCCCGCCCATATCTACGCCGAATCCTCATAGTTCTTTGGAAAAACAATTTAAACTGATCCACATTCAGTGCCCAGAGAATCACCTGTTTTCGGAACTTTTCTACGTCACGTAGTTCCCCAGATCGCGTCGTGCACATGTAAAAATGATGACGAAAGAAGAAGAAAAACAAACGGTTTTTGATGAAAACGGATTGGTAAATAATAACGGATTTTGTTGAAAATTTGATGAAAACACGAGAAAATTGAAATTTCTGTAAATTTGTGTAACTGAAAATCTGTAAAACTATGATATTCGGATAGATTTTAGTCTACTGTATCTAGTAGCAAGAGTTATTCAATTTGCACAAGCCGGTCGTCTATTTTTGAATAGACTGTCGATATTTATATGAATATATTCTGCATTTAAAATTTCTTTCATTCATTTTTATAGCATCATTGAAATTACAGAGGTGTAGTATAAATGACTTTTATATTTTACTTCAACATTTACCGATGTTAAAATCATTTACATTTGAACAAACATTGGAAGAAAATGAACTTTTAATATCTTCATCATCAGATCAACATTTAAGTTTAATTGAATTAAACTTTATCATTCAGTATTTATCGTTCGTTTAAAGCATTAAAAAATATATTATTATATAAATTACCGAAACTAGAAAAATTCAAAATTTCTACAAATGGTTTATCTTGTGTAGAAAAAGCTTTACACTATTAAAACATTGGTATGAATTATTAAATGATCATCGATCATTAAACAAATTTCAATGTGATATATCTGTAATATTCTTTGAGTATAAATATCGAATGACAATTAAAGAACAAGAAAAACAACTAAATATATTAGTAAATAATAAGTATTCAATTAAATGTGAATACTATAATGACGGTGTATGTCGTCGTTTAATACACGGAGTAATTGTAAGAACTCTTAAAGTGATTGCATTGCAAATTAAGTGATGTATTTAGAATAAACTGATGTTAATAATTAAAACATCACACAATCAGCCAAAACCTTTTATTCCTGTATCGAAAGATAGAACAAATATTCTTCTAAAGAATCAGATTTTTTTGCACAAGATGAGTTGCAACTTACAATGTCCATGTACTATGTCTTGACCTGTATGTTTGTCTGCCCGCTAATAACTTGTGTCTCCGCCTAACACACCAGGAGAACTATCTAAAATATGCTGTGAATTTTTCTCTCCCTTGATGTGTAAGCTTCCTAATATAATGTAAAGCTAAAGGGTTTTCGTGAGACCTTCCAAGAGGTCCAAAAGTTATTTCTAAACTGAAGACAATAGAGTTTTTCACCAATAGAGACGATGCTAGAGGTTTCTCATGGTCATTTTCTGATTCTCCATAGTCGAATACCTTTTCTATATCATTTTCATCCAATCAAAAATGATTTGTGTGTCTGTCTGTCGGCTGCTAATGTCGCTAGTTTCTAGTCTGCGCACATACAAACATACCCAGTCAATCCCAATCATTCCAGAAAAGCGCAGGAAACTGTTAACGAAAAATTTTACGCGTTTAGCGAGTTTCGAATAATAACGCGCAAGAAGCTGCGAGTGTGTAAAAATAAGCCGCGTGAAACAAAGGCTTTACGAGATGTGTGCACAAAGTGTCTAAAGACGAATTGACGAATCGCAATTTTTAAGCGTAAAGGGCTCCGATTTTCGTTATTCGAAAGAGGAGACTTGGAGACATGGTTTCATAACCAACATTGTTTCCAGAAAAGTGTTCTGAAACAGCTTTTCTAGGAGATCTTTGGAAAACTAGGCCGCCTGTAAAAATTTTCCAATAGGATTGTGTTGGTTTTTTTCATGGACTGATAGCCCAGGGTGTTCTCTTCAAAATGGGAGTAAAGTGAGACCTTGATTTTCTGCGGTTCAGGCGTCGTATCGGATTTCCCACGAGTCTTAGGACTGACGTCCGGCGACTATTGGTAGCCTTGAAGACGGATGAACTATCCGTAATCGACCATGCTGATTCTCGTGGCAATATTTGTCTTTACAAAAAATATTAAAAATCTACCGAAAAGCGAGTTTTACGAAAATTAGGGTGATTTTCAGCTTGTTTTCATCTAATATTAAAAAATTCACTATTCACTCAAAATACATCAGAACAAGCTCAGAACCTCCGGATATGATTAATATTGTCCGCTAAATGTAACTAAAAGATAGAAGAAATCGAAAAGCATATTTTTCTTAATAGGTTTTTCAGAAACTCTTTTGAAAAATCCTAGGGTTTTCTAAAATTTCGTTCAAGGTTTCCGATAAATAGAATATAGAATAGCTTAAATACTCCGCATTCTGAAGTTTTGAGCTCGTTCTGATGTTTTTTGAGCGAATAGTGAATTTTTTAATATTAGATGAAAACTCAACTTGTTCTGCTCAAATCAATTTTTAGTCTCGTTTTATGAAAATATGAGAAAATAAAGAATAGAACAGTGTGTGTGAAGAAGCAGAAATAAATAATAACAGAGGCTTTCTCTTTTCTTGGCAAAATTTATGTGACACCCTTTGAAAACCTTGGCTATTTACAAGTTCAAAATTTTCTCCTACACTTAAATAAATATTATTATACATCACTCGATGCAGTTTTTCACGCTGATTCGAAAATGTGTAAATTGTCTGCAAATATTACTCCTCGGGCGAGAAAAGTCAATTTTAGCTGGAAAACCAAGGGTTTTTGTAAAACCTATAACTAATTGTAGAAAAAGGTGTGAGATTTTGTGAGATCAGTATAGATTCACAATGATCTGAGGAACATTTTGGCGTAAAAATAAGTGAGTTTGCACCTCCACTAACTCGCGCGTTTCGATTATACTGTACACAACTGTTTTCCAGCATATTTCTTATTTTTTGTTATTTTCTGTTTCGAATTTCTCCAGAAGGAAAAGTCGTAGAATAAAAAGTTTTTCACCCCAAGTGTCAGGCCAGCCACAACCCGCAGGACATGAAGAGCCAGATCGAATGTCTCGGTGAGCTAATCACATAATATCAAGAAAGAGTTATTATACTCACCTATTAAATTATCATCGTCTGTCCGAAAACAATGCAGGATATATGCAGTCAAGTATTCTCTACAATCTGCGAAGGTTTAATAGCACCTTTTGTGGGGTCCCACATGACACTTAACTTTTCTGAACTAGTTTAAGTCGTGTTGATCGCTTATATGGTTTAGCTTTCGTTTAGTGTCTTTAAAGGTTACAGGCTTTATTCAAATCATATATGTGTACAGAAGAAAACAAAGAACAGGATTAGTTATCTACCGGAAATTGTCATTTGTAGTGTTCGCTTGTTGCTCTCAATGTGGATTCATTATTCGTCGCCAGAGAACGAAAAATATGCATAATGCAAGAAGTATGAACATATATTCGAGATGACCACCACCATTGCCAACAAGCGTGTCTAAAACACTTCGTTTTCGTTTTCCACCCCAAGTTTCAAGCCAGCCACAACCCGCAGGACATGAAGAGCTACTAGGTGAGCACATTTGACTTCCATCGCCACATTTACACACACGACCGCTGCTACAGAACGTCCCGCAAGGGAAAATACCGCAGTTGCCCATAGCCTAGTTCGTCCAAGCTAAAAGCGAGAGTAATAAAAACTAGACCGAATGTCTCGGTGAGCTAATCACAAGAAAGAGTTTGGCATGTAGTCTATGTGCCAAAGATCTTTACAGTGGATAAGTTCAGCTTATGTAAATGTTATCAATTTGCGCGTTGATACTGATCCGAACAGAAAAGTCCATCTTACCTGATCTTATGAAGAAAAAAGCTGTTTTTCAATGCACAACGACTAACAATATTTATATTTCTTCAAATCCTCCTCAGTGGCATCCTGACTAATACTACAAATAAAAACAGTTCCGTTTTCGTATTGATATGGATACAAAAAATATTAATTTTCTATTAAATAAATCAGTCGTATTTTTCATTATAATCGCAAATAAATTCAAGTAGTTGGAACAAAATCTGCACAAAGCTTGTATGTCTCATTAGAACGTGGATTCAGCCGTTCATAATATTTATCATACCACCTTCAACGTTTTCTTTGCGATTTGCCCACTTTAATTTTTCCAGTTCGTTCACATCTATAACAGAATTTATTTTTTTAATTTTTTTAATTTTTTTAATTTTTTTAATTTATTTTTTTTAGGCTGTTTTCACTTAATATTTAAAAATTCAATGTTCGCCCAAAATACATCTGAACTAGTTCAAAGTAGTTCGGTTGTAGTTTAGCATAGTTATGACATGACAATCGCCATTTGTTCTCGTTCTCTTTTGCGTAATCTGAGAGCATATGTGTCTACAAGATTGAGTTTCTTGTATAAGTATATAATTTAAATATAAGAACAAGTGTGATAAGCAAAAAATAAATTCTGTTATAGATGTGAACGAACTGGAAAAATTAAAGTGGGCAAATCGCAAAGAAAACGTTGAAGGTGGTATGAGAATAGTAATAGCTCTATACAGAATGAATTCATTATTTAGTTTCTTTGATCAATATATTTTTTCTCAATAATAAACAACACTCTTTCAGCACGTTCGTTGAAATGCTCTCCAGAATCTTGAAATTTCGAGAAAAAATGTGTTTACTTTGTACTATTAATACGTAATGAAGAAACCGGTACTATCGGTGCGCTTCTGTAGATCAAAAACTCTTTTATATAGCATTTTCTCTGGTAGTACTTTCCACATAAGACGCGGTTTGATGAAAAACTCGATTTTTCAAAAGTGAGGGTAATAAGAAAACAAAACTCTTGGCGCCGTATCAAAAGACAAAAAGAAACTGGAATAGTACATCTTCTAGAATTGATTCCACTCTACAAGCTGGTATACTAACAAAGACCCCAGCTTTAGGCTTCAGATTTCAATAGCGAAAATACAAAAATGTACGTAAAAGATTCAGTCCAAACTATTTTTCCAAGCCTATCAAAGATTTCCTCACTACTCTCAAACAAAATCTGTCAAATGATTTCGGAGCTCATATTCAGGAAGAGCATCGAATTCTGGTTCTGACCCATAGTTTTGGACCCTTCTGAAATACTTTCAAACAGGCGAACAATGAGCAAACATTTTGTTCAAAAACTTTCGGCTCACCCATTAGATAAAAAGAAGCAACCACTTCGCAGTTTGCGACAGCGTATTTTACTAAATCGGGGCACATCCATCGCTTACCAACACAAATATGTATTTGCAGCTGACAGTTTTTAAACGCAGAAAAGTCAACTTTAGCTGGAAAACCAAGGGTTTTTGTAAAACCTATAACTAATTGTAGAAAAAGGTGTGAGATTTTGTGAGATCAGTATAGATTCACAATGATCTGAGGAACATTTTGGCGTAAAAATAAGTGAGTT